AAGGCCCCAGTGATTTGAAAGGCACTGGGGATGCCCTGTAACCCATCCTTGACAGGCCTTTCTCAAGGTCATCAGTTTGGAGATGAAAAAGCACTGAAGTATGTGGGCAGTCTCTCTGAGCATCTGCCTGAATTTGAGACTCCCTTTGCCCTCATTCCTCCTCAAGCCCAAGATTTCTAAAGTAGTAGTGTGATTCCTTACACATCTGAGAAACCATTGGGGCCATAAATCACACCTCGTGTGTATTGGTCTCATGTATAATTTTATGTACAGTATGAGTGTATTGTATGTACATGCTTGAAGCTCTTGGAAGAGACCAGAAAACAACCAAGGTGGAGAGAAAGGGGAGGGAAGGAAAGAAGAAAAGAGAGGAGATAGACACAGAGAGAGACAGAGACAGAGATAAAAAGTTAGACAGACAGACAGACAAAGACACATACTCCCAGAAACATCTTCCCACTCAGAAAAAAAAAACACAAAACAGTTACTATAGTATACATTTTTTAATATGAACTAGGTATTTGTTTGAGTTTCTATGAATAGTAACTGAACCCTCACAAGAGCCCTATGAGATGGGTAATAGTCTCCTCCTATGAGAAATGAAGGACACCAAAAATGTTACTTTATACATGTGCACATAATTTTATAATTACACATACCCACAAATGGGTCCTTATCTCATATAGGGCCACTGAACCCTTTAGAAATCAAACAAAATTACAAACTACCATACCTCCTAACTCCTACTGAACACTGGGCATCCACACAAAGATCTGTGCCCAGTATCAGAAGCACTGGGAACCTCCTTTACGTACACTCCTAATTACTGATTAGAGGTTATCCCTGTGCCATGGCCGCAGGTGTCTAAGATTAGAGCTATGACAGGGCAAAGAATATCACCTCGGCCTACCCTGTGATCCTCTGTGCCCACAGGGAAGCGTACCTGTCTTGGAGAAGGAATTCCCCGTGCTGAGTTGTTCCTCTTCTTCACCACCATCCTCCAGAACTTCTCCATAGCCAACCCAGTGGCTCCTGAGGACATTGACTTCACACCCAAGGAGGTTGCTTTTGCCAGAATACCCCCAGTATACCAGATGTCTTTCCTGCCCCGTAAGATGGACTGAGGGGACAAGAATAAATGATTGCAGGGTCATTGAGTGCCTAATTGTAGAGAATGACAGCTCACTTCCTGAATCTAAGAAACCTGTTGTGAACCAGCATCTTTCCCCCACCTGGCTGCTACCCCATGCAAAAGTTATTTTTGTAGACTTCCTTCCATACTGCTGCACTTCTTCTAAAGCTCTGTGTTGACTTGTTTCTTGTGTGAATTGAGGTGCAGAAGTTAGGAAGTGGATCAACAATAATCAAGCCCCTTCTTTGGCGAATATAAACCATTTAGGGGTTAAAAGTGATAAATTGCCTCAAGAACCTTCTGGAGTTCTGCTTCCTAGGATACAGCTCACTCGGAGTGACTTTTTCCTTGCTCAGAACGATCACACACTGTGTCACCTCCTTGTGTTCCATGTTCTGTGCTAAATGGTTCAATGTAAAAATATCCTCTCCATTGCCCCAGGTGATGGCTGCCAGGGTCATACTCATTTTACAGATGAATAAGAGACGTCAGACAATGGCAACAGCTGCTTGAGGTCACAATGCCAGTGAGTGGAGGAGCAGATT